CTATAATGAGGTATTACCTCACATCTGTCAGAATGGCTATCATCAATAAATCAACAAACAACTGCTGGTGAGGATGTGGAGAAAAGGGAACCTTTGTGCACTGTTGGTGGGAACGCAGATAGGTGCAGTCACTGTGGAAAACAGTATGGAGTTACTTCAGAAATTAAAAATGGAACTGCCTGCCCTGGTTGAGTAGCTGAGTTGATCAGAGCATCCTCTCAATGTGCCAAGTTTTTGGGTTCAATCAACTCTGGAGTCCAGATCTCTGAAACAACGTGTTGTTGGTTCCTTCCAGGAGCCCCGAGAGGGAATCTGTTATGTGCCTCTCCCAGCCTCTGGTGTTGGTCAGCAATCCTTGGCGTTCCTTGGCTGATAGATGCAAAACGACATCTGTCTCACCATCACATGGCATTCTCCCTTCGAGCTTGTGTGTCTCTGTCTCTTTCCTTTTTTTGGAGAAATGTCTTTTTTTTTTATCCTTACGCGAGGACATTTTTTGTTTAGATAGAGTGGGAGGGAGAGAGAGAAAGATCGATGTGAAAGGGACACATCGAGTGGCTGCCACCCACACGACCCAACCAGGGCTGGGGACAAACTGCAACCAAGGTACGTGCCCGAGGTACATGCCCTTAGCGGGAACTGAACCTGGGTCTCTTTGGACCGCAGGCCGTCGCTCTAACTGCTGAGCCAAACCGGCCAGGGCTGGAGAAATGTCTCTTCAAATCCTTTGACCATTTAAAAGTTAGGTTCTTTTTATTTTTGAATTTGTAAGAGTTTTCTCTCTTCTGGATACAATTCTCTTATATCAGTATATGATTTGCAAATATTTTCTTCTGTTCTGTAGGTTATCTTTTCACTTTGTTAAAGGTGTCCTTTAAAGCAGCTTTTAATTTTGATGAAGAATTATTCTTTGTGGATATCCAGTTGTCCTTGAACACTTAGTGAAAAGACGATTCTTCCCTGCACTGAATTGTCTTGGCACTCTTGTTGAAAATTAAATGACCAGATAGATGAGGCTTTATTTCTGGACTCTCCATTCTATCCCATGGAGATATATATAATTTTAATTTTTAAATTGATTTTTTAGAGAGTGGAAGGGAGAGAAACATCAATGTTGTTCCACCTAACCATGCATTCATTGGTTGATTCCTGTATGTGCCCTGATCGGGGATCAGACCCAAAACTTTGGTTCATCAGGATGACGCTCTAACCAACTGAGCCATGTGGCCAGAGCTGATCTACATTTCTGTCCTTATTCTAATACTACACTGTCTTGATTACTGCAGCTTTGTGGTTAAGGTTTCAAATCAGAAATTGCGAGTTCTTCAACTCTCTTCAAGACTTTTGGTTACTCAGGGTCCCTTTAGTTTCTTTTAACAATGTTCTGCAGTTTTCAGAAGGTAAATTTTACACTTATTTTGCTAAAATCACTTACAAGTATTTTCTTTTTGACACTATGCCAAGTGGAATTGTTTTAATTTGATTTTTAGATTGTTCATTGCAATTATATCCATTGATTTTGTATCCTGCAACCTTGCAGTTATTGGTTCTAGTAATCTCTTAGAGGATTTCTTAGCATTTTCTGTATACAAGACCATGTCATCTATAAATCGAGATACTTTTACTTCTTTCCAATCTGGATGCTTTTTCTTTTATCTTAATGGTCCTGGCTAGAACCTCCAGTAGTGCACTGTTAAACAGAGGTGGTGAAAACATCTGTCTCTGATCTCCAGAGGGAGCAGCTTTCCATCTTTACCCCAATGATTCCACTGTGACCAAAGAACACACTATGATTTCAGTTCTTGTACATTTGTTGAGATTTGTTTTATGGCCCAGGATATGATCTATCTTGACATATGTTCCACAGTCATTTGAAAAGAATGTGTATTCTGTTTGGATCCTGTTGGTTGATGGTGTTAAAGTCTACATCCTTGTTGATTTTCTATTTAGTTATTCTACCAGCTGTTAAGAGGGTTGGAGTCTCCAAGTGTGGATTTTCTGCTCTTTCCATTCTAGTAGGTTTTGCATCATAGTTGGTAGCTATGTTGTTTGGTAAATACTATTTAGGATTATGTCTTCTTGGTGAATTGAGCCTCTTTTCATTATGTAATGTCCTTCTCTGTTCCTGGTAAATTCCTTTGCTCTGAAGTCTAATATATCTGATATCAATTACAGATACCTTTTTGCTACTTTTTAAAAATCGATGTTTTCATATTTACCATTTTTCCATCCTTTTTCTTTCAACCTACCTATACTGTTATATTTGAAGCAAGTTTCTTGGAGACAGCATATAGTTAGGTGTTTTTTTTTTCATCCACTTTGCCAATTTCTTTCAATTGACATGTATTTAGACCCTTTACATTTAATGTACCTAGTGGTATATTAGGGCTTAAGCCCCGACCCCCACCCCCTTATTTGGCTGTTTCTTTTTTCTGCCTTCCAGTAAGTTACTTGAACATTATTTTCAGAATTCCATTGATTTCTCCATAGTGTTTTTGGGTGCATTTCTTATTTTAGTGGTTGCTCCAAGAATTACCTTATATATACATAAGTTACCACAATAAACTTTGTCCACATTTTACCAGTTTGAGTGAAGTGTAGAAACCTTCCCTCTTGTTTGTTTTAGAGCAGTGGTGCTCAACCTGTGGGTCGCAACCCCTTTGGGGGTCGAACAACCCTTTCACAGGGGTCGCCTAAGACCATTGGAAAACACATATTTCCAATGGTGATTCGTAACAGTAGCAAAATTACAGTTATGAAGTAGCAACAGAAATAATTTTATGGTTAGGGGTCACCACAACATGAGGAACTTTATTAAAGGGTCACGGTATTAGGAAGGTTGAGAACCAGTTTTAGAGAGAGAGGAAGATGGACATCGATGAGAGAGAACACTGACTGGCCGCCTCCTGCATGCCCCCACTGGGGATCAGGCCCACAACCTGGGCACGTGCCCTGACTGGGAATCGACCTCTTGGTGCCTGGGTCGACGCTCAACCACTGAGCCACACCGGCCAGGCACTGGGGCTTTGTTTCGTCTGCTTCTCCAGCACCCAACTGGAGACATGTGAAGACCCAGGGAACTCAGTGTGTCGTTCCTTGGGTCCCAAGTTCCCCAGCCATTCTTGCCTTCTCTCCACCTTTCAGTCTTGTGTCTGTTTTACATAAAATGTCCAGGGCTGTAATTTGGTGGAAAAAAAAATAGGCTAAGTACTTCCATTTCCTCGTCCCAGAAGTGAAAGTGTTTCACTCAAAAAATTTTTGATTTTTTTAGAGGGATAGAAACATTACTGAGACACACCGAATGGCTGCCTCCCGACTAACCACGACCACAGCCAGGGCCGGGGACTGAACCGCAACTGAGGTACCTGCCCTTGACCGAAATCAAACCCGCAACTCTTTGGTTCACAGCCCAACGCCCTAACCACTGACCCAAACCAGCCAGGGTGGAAGTATTTCACTTTTGATACCATAATAAAACTATATGGGAATGTCAAATGGTGCCACTGCTATGGAAACTGGAATGATTGCTCAAAAACTTAAAAAAAAAATACGATTACCATATGATCCAACAATTGCACTTCGGGGCATATGCCCCAAGAACAAGAAGTAGGGTCTGAAAGAGTTCTGTGTACACCCATGTTCACAGCAGCACTACTCACAACAGCTAAAACATGGAAGCAACTCAGTGTCCATCAGTGGATGAATGGATAAGCAAAATGTGGTGTGTATACACAATGGATTATTCAGCCTTAAAAAGGAAGGAAATTGAGCCCTGGCCAGTTTGGCTCAGCAGTTAAAGAGCATCAGCCCACGGACCAGAGAGTCCTGGGTTTGATTCTGGCCAAGGGCATGTACCTCGGTTGCAGTTTTTCCCCGGCCCCAGTTGGGGTCATGCAGGTGGCAGCCAACTGATGTCTCTCTCTCTTCCTCCTGCTCTACCTGGAGATAAATGTAAAAATATCCTTGGGTGAGGATTAAAAAAAAGGAAGGACACTGAGCCCGGCTAGTGTGGTTCAGTGGTTGGGCATCAACCCATGCACTAAGAGGTCGCTGGTTCAGTTGCCAGTTGGGGCACACGCCCAGGCTGTAGGCTCAGGGTGTGTAGGAAGGGGCCAATTGATGATTCTCTTTCACATCAATGTTCCTCTCTTTCTCCCTCTCCCTTCCTCTAACTCTAAAAATCAAAAACAAACAAAAAGGAATGAAATTGACAGATTCTACAACATAGACAAACCTTGAGGACATTATGCTAACTGAAATAAGCCAATCACAAAAAATAAATACTGTATTATTCCACTTAAGTGAGTAGTCAAAATCACAAAGAAAGTAGAATGGTGGTTGCCAGGGGCCAGGGGAGAAAAAATGGGGAATTACTGTTTAATGGGTATGGAGTTTCAGCTCTACAAGACGAAAATAAGGGATGGATGGTGGTTAAGGAACCAATGTGCATGCATTTAATGCCAATGAACTGATTAACAATGGTTAAGTCAGCTCGGCCGGTGTGGCTCAGTGGTTGGGCGTCAACCCATGGACTAAGAGGTCGCTGGTTCAATTCCTGGTCAGGGTACATGCCCAGGTTGGGGGCCAAATCCCCAGTGGAGGGCATGCAGGGGGCGGCCAATCAATGTTTCCATCTCTCTCCTCCCCTCTGTCTAAAATCACTAAAAAAAAAAACAGAAAAAAAACAATGGTTAAGTCAGTAAAATATAGGTGCACTCCATCAGTCAGGCCGACCATGCTTCCTGCCTGGCTGGGCACGTCAGGCCCAGGAGGCACCCAGTTCCTGTGCCCAGTGCTCCCACAGACATCACTGCTCACATTTCCCAGCTGTGGAGAATTGGGTCAGTGAGTTCTGTGAGGAACTCTGCTCCAAAGTCAGAGCTGGTGAGAGGAAAAGGAAAGGAAATGCCTGTTCCTGGTTACTAAGGCCACTTAGTAAAACTTTTAAGAAATGACAGTTCAGAGGTAGGAATAACAAACATTTATTCAGAAATGTGTAAGTAACAGAGTCTCCCCCATCCTTTAATGCCTCTTCCCCCTTTTCTGAACAAGAGACACAGATTGGGAATGTAGGGGAGCGGGAAGTTTAAGAGGAACACAAACATTGGCCCACCACCTTCTCTTCCATTTTCCACGTTGCCATCCTACAGACCAGGGGAGGCGAACAGGCTTCACCCCACAATGCACCACATGGGTGTGCAGAGGATGGAGTGCAGGTGGCAGGCAGCTGCACCTAGCTCAGTGACACTCTGGCGGGACTGGAGGTTGGGAAGGGTAACACCACGTAGGCAGAACGTTTACCATCTCTACTCGAAACAGAGTCCGAGCGTGGCCAGACTGCTCAGGACCTGAGAAATGAGGTCCTACTGCCTTGGGTGCTCTTTTGGGCCAAGAAGTTTCAGGAAAGTGTAGGAGGAATGTCTTCCAGCTGCTGAGAGAACTCGATTTGTACTCGTTCAAAGGGGAAGAAGGGAACAAGAACTGCATTCTTTAAAGACCTGGGAAGGGAGCACCACTAGGCACATTCCTTGGTCTTGCCAAGGCCTAGGCAACCTCAGAGCTGGAGGATGGGCTGGGTTCAAACCCTGGGTCCTTCCCACTCGACAGACTGAACTTCGTGGAAAGACGAGTTTCCAGGTTTGTCTTCAGTGGGCTGGCCCCAAGCAGCTGTGTCTCAGTCCCCTTTACTTTCTAGGCTGGTGCCTTTCACAGTACTTGCTACTGATTCTGTAGCGATCCCAGAATCCTCCCCAACTCTCTCCAGCTCTGCCAGCCTAGACTCCCTTTACAGCCCCAACAAATTGGCAGAGACTGGCACTGACTCTGGAGCAATGCTGTCCTGGTATTCAGGGCTGCCCCTGGGTTCTCGTTTTGCCCCAATGCCCTGGAGCCATGCCGAGGCAGTAACCTACTGCTTGCCTAGAAGGACTGCTTTGCTCTCTCAACTCCCTCCTTACCACCCCCCCACCCATTGCCAAGGCAGGAAAATATCCTTCTGGTTAGGGCCAGACAGGCCACTTATAATGAAGACAGTGCCCCCTGGTGGCAGCTGTATATGTGCTCCCAGAATCCCTGACTATGGTCTTGCAGACAGATCTGAGGCCAGAACCAGGGAGCTGGGAGCAAGCCAACACCTGCCCTTTCACTAAGACCCACATGCAGTGTCAGATCTAGTGAGAACGGCACTGATGTGTGCTGGGCTAGAGACACTTAGAGGGCCCACAACACAAGCCTTCCCAGCAGTGATAACCAGAGGCCGAGAGCTGGGTGGAGCACTCGGCATAACCCAAGGGAAAAGGGAAATGGGACCTAGGGACTCACTCTTCCTGGCAGAGCAGCAGCCTCACCCTGCCCTTGCCAACAGGGCCCTCTCCAGACCAGACTGGTCTGGAGCCAACTGTGGTGAGAGGACAGGAGGCCTGTGACCCGATGCCCACCCAGGCCGTCTCCACTGCCCAGGCAGGTGAGAGGCACAGCTCTGGAGCTGACCTGGCTCCCATTAGGATGGCAGGAACTTCCACTCTCCACTTTGTTGGAAAAGTTTAAAAATCAAAAAGGGGAGGCACGGCCCTCCCCACTGGAGAAAGCAGTGTCCGTCAAACAGCCTGACCATGTATTCCGTGGAGACGTAAGAAAGCACGCGAGAATTCTGGACCCCATTTCCAGAGAACTCTTTGGGGCTGAGGTTAGGGAGAGAGACACTCTGAGCAACACAAACCTACCTTGGCAAGAAGGTGGAGGGAGAAGAAACACACTACAGGAAGTGTTAACGTACAGAAGAGCACAGGGTAGAACATCACAGAAGGCGGTCCGCCCGTGAGGAGGCTCTCTACCCCTGCCTGGGGCCCCAGTCCGACGGCCCGTTAGTCACCAGCTTTGGGAAACAGAGCCACCCTCCTCTGCCCCTGCTTCTGGCTGCCTCACTCCCCGCTCAAAGTTTGATTTTGAATTCTGTGGGCTGTGTGGTCACAGAGGTCCCCGAGGACTTGAAGAGCGCCTTCAGGATGGTGTCAGGGTCCACTTTGGCAGGCGGGTTGGACGGGGCGGCAGAGTTCACCCTGCGAGGCAGCTCACTCTCCTTTTTCACTGAGGGGCTGTCACTCAGCCGTCTGTGGAGAGCAGAGAAGAGTCAAAATCCCTGTCAGTTTTGCCTTAGACAGGGAGGGACCCACCATTTACTGGGCATCTGTTATAAGCCAGGCACTGAACGTTGTGTTTTGTACCTTGTATCTCCCTCCATCCACAGCAAACCTACCATCTTTCTCATTTGCCGATGAGAAAACTGAGATGAGCCTGCTGTGAGCTGGGGTTTGATGTTTAGAAAACAATGCGTGTCTCCCTGGCCAGTTTGGCTCAGAGGTTAGAGTGTAGGCCTGCGGTCCAGAGAGACCTGGGTTCAGTTCCCGCTAAGGGCACGTATCTCGGTTGCAGTTTGTCCTCAGCCCTGCTTGGGTCGTGCGGGTGCACTCGATGTGTCCCTTTCACGTTGATGTTTCTCTCTCTTTCTCTCTCTCTCTCTCTCCCTCCCTCCCCACTCTATCTGAACAAAAAATGGAAAAATGTTCTTGGGTAAGGATAAAAAAAAAAAGAAAACAATGTGTGTCCCTCAGGGATGGCCACACACACATTAGCATATTATACATCTGAGAGTCTTTAAGTAGAGAAATCAATTTATTTATTTATTTATTTTTTTAATCCTCACTCGAGGACATTTTTCCATTCTTGTTTTTTTTTTAATCCTCACCCGAGGACATTTTTCCATTTTTTGTTCAGGTAGAGTGGGAGAGAGAGAGAGGAACAGAGAGAGAGAGAGAAACATCGACGTGAAAGAAACACATCGAATGGCTGCCACCCGCATGACCGACCAGGGCCAGGGACAAACTGCAACCGAGGTACGCGCCCTTAGTGGGAACCAAACCCGGGTCTCTCTGGACCGCAGGCCGACGCTCTAACCACTGAGCCAAACCAGCCAGGGCGATTTTTCCATTCTTTATTCAGTCAGAGCAGGAGGGAGAGGAAGAGAGAGAGAGAGAAACATCGACATGAAAGGGACACATCAAGTGGCTGCCACCCACACGACCCTACCAGGGCTGGGACAAACTGCAACCGAGGTACGTGCCCTTAGCGGGAACCGAACCCGGGTCTCTCTGGACCGCGGACCAACGCTTTAACCGCTGAGCCAAACCGGCCAGGGTTAAAGAAATCAATTTAACTCTGTTTAGCCCAGTAGTTCCCAAACATACCAGGTCACAGAACACACACTTTTCAGAAAACAAACTAGCTCTGGAATACATTTTTTTTTTATCCTTACCCAAGGACATTTTTTCCATTTTTTGTTCAGATAGAGTGGGAGAGAGGAAGAGAGATAGAGAAACATTGATGTGAAAGGGACACATCGAGTGGCTGTCACCCTCACGACCCAACCAGGGCCGGGGACAAACTGCAACCGAGGTACATGCCCTTAGCAGGAACCGAACCCGGGTCTCTCTGGACCGCAGGCCGACGCTCTAATGGCTGAACCAAACCGGCCAGGGCTGGAATACATTTTAAGAATCTTGTCCAAGCCCTGGCCGGTTTGGCTCAGCGGTTGGAGCGTTGGCCTGCGGACCAGAGAGTCTCGGATTTGGTTCCGCTAGGGGCATACGAAAAAAAAAAAAAACTTGTCCAAATCACACAATTCAATATCCAGGGTTCATCTTCAGGTCTCTTTCTAAATTTCAAAGTCTATTTCAGGCCTGCCCTGCACAACCCTTGGCAAGTCTAATACCCAACCTGGGTCTGTCTCCTTGTCTATAAAAGGATGTCCTGCCAGTCTAGATTTTTTTATGCGTCTCAGCCCTGGGCCAGGCGTGTACAGCCAGGCGTGGAAAAGAGCACGAGGGGCAGCAACCAGAACCATCTCCATCAGAGTCAATCACAGGAGGTGTTCTCCGTCCCCTTGGACAATGTGCCCAGTTCTGCAAGGACATATCTGGCCTGCTCTCCCCTTTCTTCTCAGGTGTTTCTAGATTATTCATGCTAGCTCCTGTGAAGACAATCCCCTGCAGAAATGATAAGACAAGCCACTCTGTACAAATCTAAGCACCCGAACTGCTGGCCTGCCATCAGAACACAGGAAATGGGATGGAGCTGTGATGCAGGGAATTTACCCTCCAGGACAGAGAGGTGATCAAGCAGAGTAATTGGGGAGAAAGCTCCACTATCGCCCAGACCGCGGCCATTGGGACTTACAGCAAGATGGGCTGGTCGGAAGTGATGACGTTTCCATTCATGTGAAGGTTGCACTTCATTGGTTGCCCTAAAAAAACAAAAAAGAAAAGACTCTGCCATGAGACCACAGCTCTTCACACTAAAGGACAAGGCTGCCACCTTCATCACCGGAGTCAAACACCCACCCCTGGCAGCTCTGGCTACACTGGGGATGAGGCTGCCAGGTTCTAGCAAAATCCAGGGACTAAGAAAATCCCACGGTATGAGGTCCACATAACCTTGGCAAAGATAGCACCGAGAAGGGTAGCAAACAGGGCAAACGTGTACACCATGAACTTAAGTGAAAAGGGTAAGTACAGCCTTGGCAGTTTAGCTCAGCATTTAGAGCGTCAGCCTGTGGACCAAAGGGTTGTGGGTTTGATTCCTGGTCAGGGGCACATACCTGGGTTGCAGGTCCAATCCCCAGCCCCAGGTGGGGAACATGAGGGAGGCAACCAATCGATGTGTCTCTCTCATATCAATGTTTCTCTTTTTCCCCTTCTCTCCCTCCCTTACATTCTTTTGAAAAATCAATAAATGAAAAAAAAATATCCTGTGGTGAGGATTAACAAAAAAAAGTGTATGTACAGACTTTCACTTTATCCATGAAAAATTAAATGTACCGACAAGGAGAATAACAACAAAGAATTGGATAAAGAAAAAAATTTTTAACATAGAAAACAAAGAACAGAACAAAAAGAGGGAATAGAGCCATACAGAATTAATGTTTCTACCTCTCCCTGGAATTAAGTTAGTATTAATCTGAAATAGATTCTGATATATTCTATCTACAGGAGATACACTTCAGATCCAAAGACATAAAAAGGTTGAAAATGAAAGGAGATATATATATCACCCAAACAGCAACCCGAAGAAACCTGGTGGCTATAGCAATATAAGCTAAAACAGGCTTTAAAACGAAAAACGTTACTAGAGATAAACACAGACGTTTTATAACTGATAAAAGGGTCAACCCACTAGGAAAAAAATAATTACAACAATTATAAACATACATGCAACTAATAGCCTCAAATACACAAAACAAAAGCTAACAGAAGTAAAAGGAGAAGTAAACAAATAGTTAAAGGCTTCAATACTTCATGTTCAGTAATGGATAGAACCAGGCAGAAAATCAACAAGAAACAGAAGATTTGAACAACATTATAAACCAACCAGACCCAAAAGACATTTACCCAACAGCAACAGAATACATACTGTCCCAAATACTCAGAAAAAAATTTGGGAAATTCATAAACATATGGAAATTAAACAAAACAATACTAAATAACCAATGGGTCAAAGAAAAGAAAAAAAAATCACAAGAGAAATTAGAAAATATTTTCAGATGAATGAAAATAAAGACAAAACCTATCAAAACTTATGGGATGTGGCTAATGCAGTGCTTAGACGCAAATATATTGCTCTAAAATGGATATATATTAAGAGGAGTGAAAAGACAAACTATAGCCCGGCCAGTATGGCTCAGTGGTTGAGCATCGACCCATGCACCAAGAGGTCGCCGGTTCGATTCCCAGTCAGGGCACATGCCCAGGCTGTGGGCCTGATCCCAGTGGGGGGCATGCAGGAGGCAGCCAGTAGATATTCTCTTTCATCGATGTTATAATGGAAGAAAATACTGATAAACCATTTGTCCAAGAGACTCTATTCAGAATATATAAAGAACTCTTACAAATCAATAATAAAAGGACTCAAAAAGTGAGCAGATTCTGAATAGACATCTCTCTAAAGAAGATACACAAATGGCCAAAACGCACATGGAAAGATGCTCAACCTCATTAGTCATTAGGGATATGCAAGCCAAACTCCCACGGACTGTTTTATTAGTTCTGCCCATTCACTGCTAGCACAGGGCCTTGCTCCACAGTAAGTGCTCAACAAACACTGATAAAAACAAAGGAGTGGAGCCCTGGCCAGTTTGGCTCAGCGGTTAGAGCGTCGGCCTGCGGTCCGGAGAGACCTGGGTTCGGTTCCCGCTAAGGGCACGTGCTTCGGTTGCGGTTTGTCCCCGGCCCTGGTTGGTCGTGCGGGTGGCGGCCACTCGATGTGTCCCTTCACGTCGATGTTTCTCTCTCTCTCTCCCTCCCACTCTATCTGTACAAAAAATGGAAAAATATCCTCGGGTGAGGATAAAAAAAAAACAAAAAAAAAACAAAACAAAGGAGTGGATAGGAGCATGGCAGACAGAGTTCCTCTCTACGGGCTACCCTTAGGTGAGTAATAGGAATCTGAATTCAGTGAAATCAGTGGTTTACTCACTAGAAGCAGAGCTCACCCAGTGCCAACATTTACACAGGCTCCAGTCCAATAAGGAACCTGTGTCCTAGCACTGAACAGAACAACATCTGGAAGGGGGAGGCTATGGCTCTTGGAGTACCTGCTACGATGCCTTAGGAGAACCATCAAGGGAGAAGTGGTGTTTCCCTGCTTGCCAGCTTAGGTGCTAGGGCTGGGTGTAACCCAGGGCCCTGTGGGACAGGCAGCTGGCAGCTCAGCACCAACCAGAGACCGCACCTCCCTGCCTGTTCTTGGTGCACAGGCCTCACTGGTGACAGCACCAGGATGCCCTCTCACCCACCTCAGAGGAAGGCTTGTTCCCAATGCTGGTGCCTGACAGTAAGCACTGAGGAGCAGAAGGTGACGTAGCTGCTTTCTCCCTGACTTACCATCCAGACATCGGTTGTTGTATTTCTTGTATGCAGTGATGGCATCATCCTTCTTCACAAAGACCACCTCTGCTACCCCAGGATGGACCAGCCGAGCCCGCTTTAGGGCTCCACATACACAGAAAAGCTCCTGCAAAGAGCAAAGGGGTTAGGGTTGGGGGAGAATTTGGGGCCATCACCCTGCCTGCCTGCCATTCAAGCATTCTGAAGGCTCTGGGTTGGCTGTTGGCTACACTATGGCTGAATATGCCCATATTTCAGGGAGGCTCCCGTTTAGGTGGTGTTCTTAGGACATCCACAGGCCTCAGCATGGACCAGAAGAGGGGACAAGCTGTGCTGGCAGTGAGAAATGGGCCTGAGCTCACAAGCTGTGGAGTCCCTGTGACCTTCAACAAGTCACCCCTAAAGTCCTCCTGCCTCAGTGCCCACTTCCTTCCTCTATTTTCAGGGACAATAGTTATGGAACCTGGGGGTGGTCTCGGGAATTCTGGACACAGAAGTGGTTTGAGATGGAAAATTCTGGCAAGGCACAATACTCACAACAATGTCCTCCTCGGTGACCCTAGGGTGCAGATTGTTCACAGTCATCTTGGTGCCTTCCAAAGGGCTGAGGATAGGCTGCCACAGACAAGAGTGTTACCAGAAGGCACAGGACAGTTACGTGCGCAAACAGCAGAGCTCTCTGAGCAAGTGACCTGGAGACCCACCTCCCATTACAGACCTCAGCACCTAGCATGCCCCACCACCCTATGCTAAGAGATGGAGCCTGTTGTTCCTCAATACGCTAGGCCCTTTCAGGCCTCTGCCTGGAATGCCACTCCTATTTCAAGACCCACCCAGCTCAGATGGCATTCTCTCCTTAAAGCCTTCCCGAATTTGCCCAGCAGCTCTCTGGGCACAACTGTTGTATCACCAGACACAGCTCTGTCCTCTTTACACGCAGCCACTGGGCCTTGGTTTGCTCATTTGTAAAATGGGGGTGGCAACGCCTACCTCAGAGAGGCGCTGTGAGGACGCAACAGGGTACATACAGCACACTGCCCACCCAGCACAGGCTGACTCTCAACTGGTGTGGTCACTTCCTCTCCTTCACCTTCACCTTCACCTCACCTCAGCAGGCGGCAGCTCTTTGGGGGAATCCTCCTTGTTCACTAGTGTCCGGGACATGTTGGTCAAGGCTTTTGTTCGAACCAAGGAGGGGAGAGCAGGAGCTGTGTATGCATCATTCTGAACCACTTTGGTGAGGGGGGGGGCCTTGGACATGGAGAGCTTGGAACTGCTCAGCCCGGCCTAAACAAAGAGGCAAACAGGAATCTGAGAGGCTATCACCCTGGATGTCCAGATAGGGGCTGACAACCCCCACCCGAGGCCTCCCAGTTTCCCAATTCCATTAGCGGCCTAAAGCCGAAAAAGGCTGCCAGTGGCCTTCAGCAGGGAAGGGGCAAGAGGGAAGGAAAAAAATCAAACAGCCTGTACGCGTGCTCACAGAAGTCACTTTCCAGTGTTAGAAGCCCTCGGCAGGAAGCTTCCATGCAGCTCTGACCAGGACCCACAGGTTCACTCATACCATTCAGATTTTTTTTTTTTTAAGTGGGAGGGAGAGAGAGAGGAAGAGACAGAGAGAAACATCGACGGGAAAGGGACACATCGAGTGGTTGCCACCCGCATGACCCAACCAGGGCCGGGGACAAACTGCAACCGAGGTACATGCCCTTATCGGGAACCGAACCCGGGACTCTCTGGACCGCAGGCTGACATTCACCGCTGGGCCAAAGCAGCCAGGGCCCATTTAGACTTTTATAAAAATCCAACGATTTGAGGCTGGTCAGAAGGCCAAAAGCTTGGGATCAAATACATTCCCACATATGCTTCTATCATAATGGACTGATCATCAGCTCCAGGCTGGTTGAGCATAAGAACCCCCTCTTAAGAAGGCCCAGACTCCCAGCTTTCTGGTTTCTGTTCTGGCCATACAGGGGCACCATGCACCGTCCTGGCCCTAGCAGCTCCCAGACTGTCAAGGAACACACTGGCGGAGCAGGCACATGGAGAGCAGCAGAAACAGTTCTAACTGGGGATGTGGTTGGAAATATAAAGCAATGAAGTCCCTGGTACTAAGGACAAAGATGCACGAGGCTGAAGTGGCAGGTGGTCTTGCTGACTGAGGGCAGCGTGCACCAGGCACTGACTCAGGAGGGCAGAGGAATGCAGCAGCCAGAAGAAACACAGAGTATGGGACACAGTCAATTCACCAGCTTCTCTTGCTTTAGATGAAACATCCTCCCCAAGCTGGATTCCACATTCCTCAAACCGCTTTCTCAGTTTCAAGAGCCAATACAGCACACGGCCCTAGACCAAAACTGCTGAAGCTTGAATCCTAGGTCTACCACTTACAAGCTGGGCAACAACGGACAGGTTTATTTAACCTCTCTGTGCCTAATTCCTCATCAGTAACAAGGGGTAACAACAGCACCCGTTCACAGGGTGGGAAGGAGGAGGAGGAGTCTTAAATGAATTAACAGAAACACAGCATTTTAGGGTTCTCAATTAGGGTTAGTCAGAAGCCAGCAGACAGCCCCCTCTGCAGCAGACCCAGCAGTCTAATTTCTGGAGAGCAGCCCCTCTGTAACAAACTGGCATCGTCAACCTCACGCATCACTGGTAACCAGAAGATAGGTCCACACATTCAGCGCAGCAACCAAAACCAAGCGTTTGGGCCCCTGAAGGCAAAACAAAGGCACCTGGCTCAGGTACCCACTGGCCTCCCTATCTGTCATAGACTGAGCTGAGCAGCACAGACCTGCCTGATGTTCCGGATGTTGCTTTCTTTCCTTTTCCGCATGGTATCTGACCAGCAACCTAGTCTATCAAGCTTTTCTTGCAAGCAGGCTGCACCCGGTGGAACCCACAGGAAAGGTCATTTTGCTAACACACTAACCAAGGGAATCCAGAGCTAACCATGAAGGAAAGGAAAACATGCAGAATGTCCTGCCACAAATGAAAGAAAATGGGATTCCTCCTGTGGGGCCACCCGCATTTCTCCCAAAGAATCTCCAATCTATCAGTTGGGAGCTGTAGCTCTGCACTTCACTAGCTGTGGAAACTTGAACAAGTCACTAAACACCCTGGTTTCAGTATTAGAAAATGAGGGGTTACACTAGTTCCAATTCTGAAAATCTTAAGACCCAAATGAAGAAATATTTCTGAGTTGAAAGGCCAATTCTCCATCTCTAACATCCACCTGATCGGAGACACACAGAAAGTAGAGGAAAAACATAAAATACCCTACCACATGGTGGAGAAAGTTGCCTGAGGCTGCAAATTTCATCTGTTTACTAGGAATGGGAGCTGCAATGTCATCCTCTTCATCCAGGTCATATAAATTCTGAAAATAAAGAAATATAAGCTCATGTAGCATTCAGACTTTCAAAAGACACTTGGAGCGAGAACAGCAGGGAGGACTGTGGAGTGCCTGAGGAGGCTGGGGCTCAAGTCCTGACAGCAGGCTCATTAAATGCAGTCAAATGTAATCCCTCCCCAATTCTGCAAATTGTGAACCTTGGGCTAGGCATCACCAGTTAATCAGGTCCAATCAAAACACATGCTTGTGTACACATCCACACTCACACTATACCTGTTTGGCCTGGTGGTTGTTGACGACGTTAATCCTCATTCCAGCAGGATGGGCATGAGATGGGGTCATGGCCTTCTGCTGTGGAACCTAGAAACACCCACTGGTCATAATTCATCTCACGGGTCCACGTGCACTCTCTATGAACACTGAACTTGAAATATGAGGTGCATTCAGTTTTAGTCTTTAGTAAAAGGTCCTTCAGAGTGCCTCATACCCAAAGCAGGAGAGTGACAGGAAGACCGGTCCTCCCAGAGACCATGTGACAACACACGTGTAGGGCTCAATGAACCTGGCTCAATAAACGTTCCCTGTTGCTGCTGTTCCTGTTACCAAAGTTACGTGAACATTAAGTGAGATTGACTCCATTCCCTGTGGGGTGGTGGCTGTGCAGGTGGCCAGGGCACTGTCCGTGGAGCCAGGTCCTCCCAGGGACTGGCTGTGTAACTCTGGGCATGATGACTCACATCTCTGAGACTGAGCTTCTTTGATAGACTGGGGTAATAACTCCAGGGTTGCAGTGAGGAATACATAAGGTTACAGATGGTTTTTTTTTTTTTTATCCTCACCCGAGGACATTTTTCCATTTTATGTTCAGGTAGAGTCGGGGGGGGGGGGGGGGGAGGAACAGAGAGAGAGAAAGAGAAACATCGACATGAAAGGGACACATCGAGTGGCTGCCACCCGCACGACCGACCAGGGCCGGGGACAAACTGCAACCTAGGTACGCGCCCTTAGCGGGAACCGAACCTGGGTCTCTCAGGACCGCAGGCCGACGCTCTAACCGCTGAGCCAAACTGGCCAGGGCCATAAGGTTACAGATGGTAAGTGTCTGCCACATAGCACATGCTCAACAGATGTTTTGTCCTTTCTTCTCTTTTCCCTCCACCACGATCTTACTTAGGAAACTTCATTTCTCTGGACCCTCCCACTTTTAATATAAAATCAGGTAATACTTTGCCTTCCTCATATGGTTGCTATACAAACACGTGGGGGAATTGTCATTTTGCACAAACATTCCTGACCCCTGCTTCCTGCCAGTATCTACAGTTGTTACTGGCTTCCTAGAATTCATGACAAAAGCCCCACCTACCTGGATGGTTTTAGTGAGCTTCAGAGCTGGGGTCACCGTCCCAATGGGTGGGCTCATGAAGGAAGCAGGGGAACTCCGCTTCAAACTGAGCTTCTCCCTGGCATCAGCTACCTGGTGGGGCTTCTGGGGCGCTGTGCTCTGCTGCTTGCGGGAGTTCAGCATCTCTCTGGCATCCTGCACTTTCCCTTTGATCCGGAAACGAGCATCTTTCTGCAAAAGCTTTTCCCGGGCATCCTTGACTCCCAGCTTGAGCCGGGCATCTGAGAGGCCAATCTTCTGCCGGGCATCAAACCTCTGCTGGAAGGTGGCTGTTCGTGCTGGCTGGCTAAGGAAGCTCTGCTGGATCCCAACATGAGATCGGACACCTCCAACACCTGGTCTGACATTGAGCCTGCAAATAAAAATTGCCACATTAAGAAGAGCTGGATATCAACAGCAGTAATACAGAGAACAGAGGCTGGAGAAAGCAGAAAGTTGCTCCCTGTCTGAGGAAACAATTAATAGAGGCTTCCTTCCTAGTTTTATGGCTTTTAACTATGCACTGGAAACAAAATTAGGAAGGAGGGCCTAGCGCTTTCTGTCACTAGGTAAAAGTGTTTTGCTCTCTAGACTAGGTGTTTTGAGACACCATTAGGGACAATAATCTCTAAATGATGCCAAATAAAATAAGCATATCCCCAAAATATCATAACCCCACACATCTGAGGAGCACTTTCAATTTCCATAGTTCTTCCACATCCATGCTGTCAACCCTCTCAGCATCCTGTGAGGTGGACATCACAAAGCCCATTGTACAGTGGGAAACAGGTTTTGAAAGGTTAACTGATCAACAAAGGGTGCCCAGCTGGCCTCTGGCCGCCTCACACCTCCAGTGCCAGCAGACACCCCTTACTGGGCTGGGACTAGGAAAGCCAACATGTGGGCCTGGCTTGGAGCAAGAGGAGTAACAGACTGAAGATATAAGGACTTGGTAGAAAAGTAGCCACTCTGTCTCAAATGTTCCTATTCACAACACTGACACCAAATGCACGGCTTTTCCCTCACATCAATCAATTTTCCAACTAGGTATCTTACATTTCAATTCTGACACTAACTACTAGCGCAGACCCCACAGGTTAAGGGCTCATTCCTACAAGATGACCTTCACTTCAGATGTCAATCCCAAGTCCTGGACTTTCCATTCTGCTGATTGACGGGCTATAAATCAAGATGACTCACAACTCCCTCCTCCTCAAGTTAGATAATTTGGTAGAACAGGAAAACAATTTACTAATACTGGTTTATTATAAAGGTTACAACTCAGGAACAGCCAAACTGAAGAAATGCATACCGCAAGGTGTAAGGGAAAGGGTGTCGTTTCTGAGCCCTGCAGGGCTCACCACCTTCCCAACATGTTAATGTGTTCACCAACCCAGAAACCTCTGAACTCCATTGTGTAGGGTTTTTATAGAGGTTTCATTACGTAAGGATGATTGACTCACCACTGACCACTGATGATTAACTTTATCTCTAGGCCCTCTCTTGCCTGGAGGTCCAGGGAGAGGACAGTGCTGTAAGTTCCAATCGGCTAACTATGCCTAGGTTTTTCTGATGACCAGCCTGCCCCCATCCTAGTTATCTAGGAGCCCAACAAGAGCCACCTCATTAGAACCAGACTCTCCTATCATCCGTATCACTCACGTAATCCCAAAGGTTTTAGAAATGATGTGCCAGTGACAAACACCAAATATATGTATACACACACACACACACACACACACACACACATAGTATTCTACAACAGGGGTGGAGAATGTGCGGCATTTGGGCTGTATAAGGCCCTTGAAATCAATACCAACTAACACATGCCTGACCAAATATAGCAGGCTAATTTTTTTTTTTTAATCCTCATCGGAGGACATTTTTCCATTTTTTGTTCAGGTAGAATGGGAGGGAGAGAGAGGAACAGAGAGAGAGAAAGAGAAACATCGACGTGAAAGGGACACATCGAGTGGCTGCCATCCGCACGACCAACCAGGGCTGGGGACAAACCGCAACTGAGGTACGTGCCCTTAGTGGGAACTGAACCCAGGTCTCTCGGGACCACAGGTCAATGCTCCAACCGCTGAGCCAAACTTGCCAGGGCTAATTTTTTTTTTTTTTATCCTCACCTGAGGACATCTTTGCATTTATCTTTAGATAGAGCGGCAGGGAAAGAGGGAGGAAGAGAGAGAGAGAGAGAGAGAGAGAGAGAGAAACATCAATGAGAGAGAGACACATCGTGTGGCTGCCACCCACAGGACCCCAACCGGGGCCAGGGCCAAACTGCAACTGAGGTACATGCACTTAGCGGGAACCAAACCCGGGATTATCTGGTCTGCCGGCCGACACTCTAACCACTGGGCCAAATCAGGAGGGCTAGCAGGCTAACTTTAAGTTGATAACTTTGTACGGCCCATGAATGATGTTTTTAATATCCAAATGGCCCCTGGCAGAAAAAAGTTCCCCGTGCATGCTCTACAATAACAAAACTGTTAAATTCAGAAATGAAATTGGAAACGAATAAAACTCCATTAAATAAACCTCATTCTCTCCTGTGGCTACTGCTGGCCCTTCAGTGGCTTCAAGAGTGAACAGAAGACCCCTCCAGGACCAGGAAGCCCTTCCTGAGGTCTGTAGGCATCTGCCTCCCCCGACTGCCGCCCCACGACGAGGCCTCTCCACTCCAGCCACCACAAACACTGCTTCTATGGCAGCCGCCTGGGACCTCCAACTCCCAGAGCCAGGCCTCCTCTTGGGAAACCCTCCCTTCTTCCAGGGTTTCTAGTACATATGCCCATTTTCTCTCCCCATCCTGTACTGGGAGAGGAGGGAGAATGGGGCTCCTTCCTGTTCCATGGCCTAGTGCTTCATGGCATAGTGTTTTAGATTCCACACGTAAGTGAAGTCATACGGCATTTGACTTTCTCTGTCTGACTCATCTCACTTAGCATAGGTCCATCCATGCTGTCGTCAAGATTTCTTTTTGTGTGTGTGGCCAAACATAGTCCATTGTATATACGTACCACCTTTTCTTTATCCAACTGCCTACTGATGGACTCTTAGGTTCCTTCCAGATCTTGGCTATTGTAAATAATGCTGCAATGAACATAGGGATGCATGTATCTTTTCAAATGAGTGTTTTGGGTTTCTTCAGATAAATACTCAGAAGTAGGATTGTTGAGTCAAATGGTAATTCTATTTTTAATTTTTTGAGGAACCTGCATACTGTTTTCCATAGCTGCTGCGCCAATTTGCAATCAGTGCACGAAGGTTCCCCTTTCTCCACATCCTCACCAACCCTTGTTTGTTGATTTTATATACAGCACAACAAAAAATGGGCATTTTAATATCAAAGAGTAGAACACCTGTTTTTCCTATGCCTATTCTATACTTATTTGACCAATTACATGGTCCGACAGGGAATGAAGTTAGCACCTTTCTCATGTGGCATCTATTATCTTTTTTTATTTGTACTTTTTTATCCTCACCTGAGGAGATTTTTGCATTTATCTTAAGATAGAGCGGGGGGTGGGGTGTGTGTGTAAGAGAAACATCGATGTGAGAGAGACACACTGACTGGTTGCCACCCACACGGCCCCAACTAGGGCCGGGGACAAACTGCAACCGAGGTACGTGCCCTTAGTGGGAACCGAACCTGGGACTCTCTGGTCCGTGGGCTGAAGCTCTAATCGCTGAGCCAAACTGGTCAGGGCTGTGACATATATTATCTTTTCGTTGTTATTCTTTCTTTAAAAAATGGATTCTTTTATTTTGTTGATTTGAGAGAGAGAGAGAAACATCATTCAGCTGCTTCCCAAATGTACCCTGACTATCTTTTGGTGTACAGAAAGATGTTTCAACTGAGCCACACTGGGCAGGACTACTTTCTTTGAGACTCTGGAAAAATTTTTAATTGAGCTGTGGCCAATGTGGCTCAGTTGGTTGAGCGCTGTTAGATACATCAAGAGGTTACCAGCTCAATTCCGGGTCAGGACACATGCCGAGGTTGTGGGCTTGATCCCAGTAGAGGGTGAGCTGGAGGCAGCCTATTGATGTTATTCTCTCATATGAATGTTTCTCTCTCCCCGTTCTTCTCTAAAATCAATAATAAACACATTATTTACCAAAATTTTAAACTGAGATTATTGGGGTGACACTGGTTCACAAAACCATACAGGTTTCAAGTATACAACTCAACGAATCATCATCTGCACACTGCATCATGCGCCCAATTACCCAAAGCAAAGTTTCTTTCTGTCACCATTTATCCCCATTCTGCCCACCTCTACCTTCCCCCAACCCCCTTTCCCTCTGGCTATCACCACACTGCTGTCTGTGTTTATGTGTTCATAAATATGTTTTGGGGTGTGTTTTTTTGCTTAATCTGTTCACCTTCTTTCACCCAGCCCCTCAGTGCCCCCTCCCCGTTTACTTATTGACAGCCATTCTGACAGGTGTGAGGTGATATCTCATTGTGGTTTTAATGTGTATTTCTCTGATGATAGTGATGTTGAGCATCTTTTCATATGTCTACTGGCCCTCTCTGTTTTCTTTGGAGAAATGTCTATTCAGGTCCTCTGCCCATTTTTAAAAATCGGATTGTCTTTTTGGTGTTAAGCTATATGAGTTCCTTCTATAGTTTGGGTAGTAACCCCTAACTGGATGTATCATTGGCAAATATCTTCTACTATTAATAAGCTGTCCTTTTATTTTGTAGCTAGTATCCTTCACTGTGCAAAATCTTTTTAGTGTGATGTAGTCCCATTTATTTTGTTTGTTTCCGTTACCTAAGGGGATATATTAAAAAAAACATTACTAAGAGCAGTGTCACAGAGTTTACTGCCTATGTCTTCTTCTACAAGTTTTATGGTTTTGAGTCTTGAAAATAAATGGTCTAGTTTCATTTGTTTGCATGTATCTGTCCAGTTTTCCCAATACCATTTATTGAAGAGACTGTCTTTACCCAATTGTATATTCTTGCCTTTGTCATAGATTAACTGACCAGAGAGCTATGGGTTTATTTCTGGGTTTTCTATTCTGTTACATTGATCTATGTGTCTGTTTTTATGCCAGTACTATACTGTTTTGATTACTATAGCCTTGTAGTATAGTTTGATATCAGGTAACATGATTTGTGCAACTTTGGTCTTCTTTCTCAAGATTGCTTTGGCTATTTGGGGTCTTTTGTGATTCCATATAAAATTTAGGATTATTTGTTCTAGTTCTGTGAAGAATGCTATTGGTATTTTGATAGGGATTGCACTGAATCTATAGATTGCTTTGGATAGTATGGTCATTTTTTTTTTTTTTTTAATCCTCACCCGAGGACATTTTTCCATTTTTTGTTCAGGTAGAGTGGGAGGGAGAGAG